GCTGTAGCAGTAGCAGCTGTTGCCGACGGAGACTTTGATGAAGATGATGATAAACCACTTAACTCACTGAAGGCATCCAAGAAGAAGACACATAAAACGAGCGATTCTGCAAGCAAGAAAAAGTGTACTCACGCAAGCAAGAAGAGAAAACATCGCGGCAGGGTGGATGGCAAAAATCACGAGCTGTTTTCTAATACCGCGAGAGCTTTGTTGGTTGACACTGTTCCCACGGTTCCTGTTCAAATTGGGGACAACATTGTTGTCAGATCTTTTGGACAATTGAATGTTTCGAATACGGAGACTTTCTCAACTGAGAGCGCCTTGTACCCTGTTGGTTTCTCTTGTGATAGGTACGAATACAGCCCTGTCCACGGCCGGGTTATAAAGCTGCGCTGTACCATCTTAGATGGAAAGCGAACCAAATTGCAATATGGAGGACCCATTTTTAGGGTAATGTGGGGACAAGGGGTAAACGAAGATGTTGACCAAGTTGAATATCCATACGACCCAGAAAAAAATTCCTTCCCACTGCGAGGTGAAGAACCTTTGGCGAATACAACACCCGCTAGTCCGTGGCGTGGAATGATAGTTCCAATCAATGGAATGAAGGCCAGGGTGAGATTTGAGAATGACATTTTCTACTATGGGACAATCGAGTCTGTCATCGAAAAGTCAGAAGACAACAAGAAGAGACGAAAATCGGCCTTCGAAATTTCTATTCAATACGACGACGGATCTGTGGAGGAAACAACCTATCCGGATCCAGATATTTCTATTGTTATGCCTGGTAGGTATTGATTCGTAACTCGCTTGGATTTTTCTATCACTCACTTTATTGCTTGTGCAGGCTACGATGATGAATTGGATCACGACAATATTGATCTGAAGGAATTAAACGGGAAACCAGTGCACACTGCAATTGGGAAATCGCCTCTGGAAGCATGGGGCCATGTAATCCAAAAGCTGGGACTCGTAGACGAATTTGTTGTGGAGAATGGGTTGAAAGCAATGAGCACAAAAATGGAGGATCTCGAAGATGATAACGTCGTAGAATCATTGAAACATGAAAATGTTGAAGAAGAAAATAGTCAAAGTGCAGGGTCTCATGGCTCAAAAACAGGATGTGAGCAATTATCTGAGTCGAATGAGGATAGCGATGCAGAGAAATTGTTGCCAGCAGAAATTGAGCTCAAGGTACATGTGGCAAGACTGAAAGAAAATCTGAAAAACCAAAATGGCGAGGACAAGGCTGCTTCTATGGCCCTCGCAGATGTAAGAATCTCGCTCCTCGGTACCCTTGCTTGCAATCCATTCGCAAACTTCGAAGGTAGCATTTCTCATCAGGAGTCATGGATAGCTGCTGCAGTTCGAAAGGAGAAAACAAAAATGGCTAGTACAGGGAACAAGCGAAAAATTGTCACTGCTGCAGATATTGTGCAAAGGAACAACTCGTTCTTCAATCCTGATATTGAAGCTCTCATTGAAGGACTTCCAGGTAGTGACCACTTCAACACCTACAAGCCGCTAGAAACTCGCTCGGGACTCTCCACAATTAGCAAGTCCTTCAAACAAGAGCAACAGCTGCTGCAAATTGATGACAGCAAAAGGAGTTTGAGTAGAGACAAATTCCAGAAGACAAAGTCATCCCAAGACAAGGAAAAAGAGCGAAAAAGGAAGAAACGAGAGGATGAGCGAGATGCACGGAAGCGCCAAAAATTAGAGGAAGAGGAAGAAAAGAAGAAAGCACGTGTAGAAGAACGTCTTCTTCGTCTTCGGGTACAAGTTGACGAAAGGATGTTCCAGGAAGCTTCATTCCAACGTGAGAAAGTTGTCCTTGCGATGGCAAAGAGTTTTGGCAAGGAGATGGCACGTCGACGAAGAGCGGCCGAACATGTGGCGGCTCTGAATATCGGTGACGGGAGGAGTATTAGTGTGCGCATGGACTCTGACATTGGGGATTTGCCACCTCTTTCGAAACCATTTGATGAAGACGTCTTGCGCATTTGGGATTTTATCAGCACCTTTGGTTCTTTCTTCCTTGAAAGGGGATATGTTGACGAACTTCCGACCCTGGATGCTCTTCAATCCTCTATTGATGTGCTTCGTACTTCAAAAACTGGTCAAAAAAGAAGCGAGGCTATATCATTCGTTACAAATTTGGCTGTGGCACTGTGCAAACCGTTATCTGCAGGATTAACTCGAATGCTCTTCGCAAGTCTGATTGCGTTGAACCCTACGCTACAGAAAGATTTTGGAGCTGCTTTTTTCAACGAGCAGAGTGCGACCAAGGTAAAGGGCGCCTTGCAGGATTCTTCGCAGCTCAAGGTCCTGCTACCAGTCAATGTGTTGACTTGGAAAGAGATTGCAAGGATTGCTTTCCTCTCCGACGCCCTTGGGGAGCTTGGGCACAGTAGACAGGAGCAAGCGCACTATCTCCGAGGTTACAGAAGCACTGGGCACCCAAATTCCAAGGAAGCCCGTCGTTTACGAAGAGTTGAGGACTTTGCAGTGGCAGTTCTGAGACAGTCACTTGTTTCCGAACACCAGCCAGAGATCCTCAGTGCAGAAATACCCCAGGAGAGTCGAATAAAGATTGATGTACCCTCCCAACCTTTGTGTGATCTGTCATCTTGGTTATTCCAATTGCACAATATACTTTCGCTGAAGGCAGGCACAGGAAGAGCGAGCTACGTAAAGCTTCTAGAAAATGCATTGGGGCAGCTACAACCACCTGGTGTTGATGGGCATAGCCGAGCCAAACCTATCCATGAGGTCGAGCAAATTTTGAAAGAAGTCAGAGATGGTGTATCCAAAGATGAAGCATTCAATTCGTCGACAATCACTAAAAAAGTCTTCGATCTCTTTGAAAAATACACATTTCAGGTTGTCAATTCAAATCCAAATTCAGGAAGCACAAAATTCAAGGAAAGAGTTGGCTCTCGACAGAACGGAACACAAGTGGCAACGCAAAAATATCAGAAGCTCAGTCGATCGACAATGGGCGCGCTTCAGTCACTTGCGCTAACACCCCAAGGCCTAAAAGACTTGGCTCGGGTGCGAGAAAAGTACATGTCAGATGCATTGGTGTTAAAAGAACAAATGAAGCGGCAGGAACTGAAAGAAGCTGGCGAAGACGATGACGAGGATGATGATGATGAAGAAGAAGAAGTTGGACAGAAGGAAGCGAACACCACCATTGCGGTCGAAATTTCAAGCGAAGGCAAAGAAAACGACACAAGTGAGAAAAAAGGCGTATCACATGAATTGGAAAGTGGGGACAGCTTCACTGGTGCAGATATGAAACAAAGAATTGGGAAAGAAACGCAGCATGATGATTTCTGTTGCGACATACCGGATGCTCCAGAATTAATCCGCCGGTGTCTTGCAGTTTTAAGAACTTTATGCCAATCAAGAGCGGCTGAGCCGTTCATTTTCCCTGTTGATCCGCAGACCAACCCAGGCTACTATGACATGCTACTGAAACCCATGTGTATGCGAGAAGTTGGAATCCGACTGCAAAGAGCAGCAAGAGACTATCATAGTCTTGAAAGAGAAAGATCAATTCAATTTTTGGAAAATACTGTTGCTGATTTTGCCAGAAACATTCGCTTGATTGGTTGGAACTGTTTATCATATGCGAATGCAGGCCCAACAGTTATCAGTGCTGGAGGAGAGATGCTACGAATATTTGAGCGCTTGCTTCTTGATTGGGTTCTTGCGCCCCCGAATCATCTGACTTCACT